GCGGACTCTGTAAATCCGTGGAAAGTCCTGATAGATAGAAGATCGTCGTGCAATTAAGTTTGACGCGCGGCTGTCAACAACAGAAGACAGTACACAAAGGTATTGAGGTAACCACAAACAGGTACGAAATCATGCTTTTTACAGCAGATACACTGGTGAAAGCGTGGAAGGGGGATTTCGCATCGTTAAGTTAAAAGTGCGAACTTTAACAACATAAAGCATCATCAAATCTTGAATCCGGATTGAAGATCGTTCTTTTATAGCTCACTGGAGCGCTTCGACTCGTGGGTTGACTGGGGAGCACAAATGTCAGGCGACACGTACTTTTCTTCTGATGAGGCCTTGGCAACTAAAGCGAAGGCCTTTTGCCGCGCGCGAGAAGCTGCGACAGCTCTTGTGCTCATTATGAAATAGCTCAAAATTGGTAGCATCGGTATTGCAAGGTGCCTCGACAGAAGGTTAAAAGGAAGAGGGGGTAGCAAGCATAGTTCTTACAGAAATCGGGGGGGGGGCTAAATTCAATGAGCATCTCGGTTAAACGAGAAAGGACGACTACCTCAGAATGTCTTTCCGGTGGAAGGGCAAGGCACTTCTGGGAGGTTCAATGGGGAGTTGCAGTGACTGGGTGTCGCAATCTCCTGTGGCAAATCTGCTGGAGATGAAGAGTGACTGTAAGTCGTGAGTAAAAGGGCTAGATAGTGATAATAAGAAAGCTGATTTAATCTTGTTATGGTGTGACGGCACTGCAACCGTGAGACGATCATCCCATATGGAGCAGTAAAGCTGTACGGGTGAGAGGCCAGAACGATTGCTCATTATTGAATGGAGCATCAAAAGCAGTAGTTGATGTTGGGAGTTTTCCCTCACTACCTCCATCGGAAGCTCTTAAAGAGCTGGAAGAGTTACCCCTGGGAAATATTTGCTGAATTGCAAAACGGCGAGATCACTGAAATGGTGTGGTTAGTAGAAAAAGAGGAGCCAAACAAGAGAGCATAACTTCCGAATAGGGAAGTCCATCATGAATCGACTTGATCCCAAGATAAATATTGCATCACACGGTAATGGCCTTTGCCTATGGACATTATGACGTCATTGACGCTTTCTCCCGTACAAAATACAAATCGGGTTCGTGACCGGCGGTGTGTTCTTGGTCAGAAAGGCTTACGGTACGTGGCAAATCTTCTATGCATGATAAGCTAAATACAATCACGGTTTCGGCGCAAGGCCGAATCATCGGCAATTTTTTGTACGCTTATGATAAGCTAAATGCAATTTAGGTTTTGGCGCGAAGGCCGAATCAAGGGTAGATTATCTCCAGAACAGCATACATTGTTTAGCGGCCTTATCTGCGTTGGTGATGAGTATCAACATGTGAGGAATGGCAGTGACATCTCTCTCACTTTGGTAAGTACTCCTGCAGGATGCTTTGCGAGTGGCTGGCAATACAATAGGGACAGCCGAATACACACGCGAAGCTCAATCTTCTGATAGAACAGCTGTTCCGGCCACATCGCGGCGATGAAAAAAATTATTAGCACGATATATTTGTCTGTCATCGCGCAGAGCACGAGAAATATGACATCGAAAACTAGCAAGCGGTACTCGAATATTTGCGCTCAAGTCTGCCGCTCGCCAGTTTAGTCAAGTGTGTCTTTAAAGCCGACAGGATCCATTTCCAAGCTGCTTAATTTAAAAGCAGGCCTGCGGGCAGATCCCGCGAAGATAAAGGACATGATTGCTTGACCGGTACCTCTGTACCAAGAGGACCTCTAGAAAACGACTTGGCCATATCACTAGCACGAATAAAGCTATAACTATGTTCGTATGGCACGACTTTCTCGAATATCTTCAAAATGTGTAGGGTGCGGCAAAAGTGGCAGCATTCAAGGCTTTGGAAGAAGTCTCATGCGTGCCGCGATTCGGGAAACTACTTGCAATGAAGTTAAGCTTGAGGGTTACTTGATTGGTTCTAGTCCGTTTGTAATCCAAAATGACCATGCGTCGTTGCGCACAGGACGTCGTCACCACATCTCTCACAGAGTACGGCAAGATGGTTATCCTTCCTTGCCGAGTATACCTATAAGGTAAGGTATAAGCCGTGTCGGTCTAATGTGGTGGTGGATGCTCTTTCGTGCCAATCGACTTTGAAACGATGCATCTCACGATTGTGACATCGTGCAATGATAAGGTCGTTTAATTGAAGCGATCAGTTGCTTGTTCGCACCGTAATGTTCATTTCTCAAGGCATACTGTATAACAACACTGCCCCACTCAACACTCAGCGTGTAGTGGTACCTCATGACCGGGACATCCGGATAGCTACCAGCATCCCGCGCTAGAAAAAGCTTAATCCTAGCTTGTGGATTCCGATAGCCTAAATGTCTCATGACCGGGACCTCGGTTCAGAATACTGAACGATGCACATAATACCACTATAGGTGGTGGCCACCTCGAATGTGAATATGCATGCTACCCGGTAATCACTGTGTATTGGTGGTCCAAAACTATGACTGGGTGAGCACATATGTGCACAATTGTGGAATATGCTAACGGGTTCATTCCTCTCCGCATTCGGTGACACTATTGGGCCAGCCTGCCACATCCGACAAAACCCGGATTCTATTTGTATGATTTTGTTTCGGATATCTAGAAGGCGCATCTGGTATTGTTGGTATTGTGGATTGTCTAAACAAGATGGCTCATCATGATGTTGTCAGCATAAATTGACCGGTAGGATACAGTTAAACTGTTCACCGACAAAACGTTGTGCCAAATTTGCTGGCCGGTAGACAACTTATCGTATAGATATATGTGCTTAACAGCGAAGTCTTGGTAAACATTACTTAAGATGACCGGTCTCAGATTTAATATGTCAACCACCGAGCATCCTCCCACAGATGGGCGGCCGGAACGTACGAGTCGCGTTTTGGAGGAGATCCTCCAATTTTTGCGTGGAGAGACCGTGGTGCTCTTACTCATTGATACGAGTAGGAAAAAACCAACGCGCTTTTCCTGTTCTACATCAATGGGGTTTGATACACCTCCAGGAGACATGGACGCCTCCAATATGTAGCTCCAGTCTTAGTGGGGGACAGGCTGTCAATCACATTCGACTTGCTAATATTTGTACGACCAAATTCTTAAGCAAAGTATGTGGTTTGCATCAATGAGATTGAGTGGAAATGGCTTAGTGTCGAGATAAACAAAAGCAACCTACCAAGCCCAGATAGAAGCAAAACGCATACGACTATGTAGAGAGACAATAATTCTGTTAACCTACCTTCAGACTGCGCAGCATTGTATTACTCACAGTCACAGCGTTAAAGGGATAAGGCTTTCTTCTCTACATACCAAAGAGAATGCGAGCACATCTTGCGCGAAATGTTGATTTACCGAAGTCATATCAGGATTCCGCTCTTACCAGTCAGTCGGAGTGAAAAGATTTTTTGTAGACAAAGCAATATCTCTACCATTCTCTGAAGCTGAACCACCCTTTGTTCCAGTGCACGACGTGGTTCCGAACCACAAGCGATGTCTCAAGCCAGGCAGCGGTATGGCAAAGATCAAAGATCGAATCCAATCTTTACTTACTACAGAATTCGACATGACCGAGAAAGTTCATGAGAATTGGCCTCTAAAGGATCGACCTCCAACGGCAATTAAGTGGCGATAGGACGAATGTTTAGTGGATCAGCGGGTGTACCAGAGCTGTTATCAGTACCACCTGGTAAAGCGAGAAAATCATTTTCAGTCTAAGCTAAAGTGGTTTTATGAGATTCCACTACGACAATGTAGGCCTGATGTCGTGATCGTTAACGACTGGCACACCTTTGACTTTTTTCATCCTCGGAGTGGATGCACGGTCCCCCATCGCGGCACAATTGCTTTGTTGGGAGATGATCGACCACGCCGTGACTTCAATACTTGGTCGGTAGCCGTTGCAGCTGTCTGATCGTGAGTCTGGTATTCAGCGACAAAATTTACCAGCTTCAATATATGTTATTCATGGAGATTACGGGTTGGCTGCTGTTGGGCAGAGATTATCTGCGAATTGGTAGAGCCTTCGTGGGGCGACGATCTCACGCTCATTTTGCTCTTGATGTAAGCAAAAGGTCCGTGTGTATAAGCGGGTAGGAGCTCCGCACCAGCGCGGCGAGATCTGGGCAAGAATCGATGCAGCCTTTGCGCTTGCAATAAAGTAAGCTAGGCTCCTTGAACCTTGTCCAGTTCGTTGAGTTTACACAGCGGGGGTGTTGGAAAACCTGCCACAGATGGTAAAGGGTACGGTTTCCGAAAATCGTGCAGCGGGGAAGTCATGCGCTGTGAGCACCTCCTCTATGGAGAAGGCTAGATCGTGTATCGCCGGGTGAGGACGGAAGTGTTTGTTCGGTACTTGGGAGTCAATTAGACTGTACTCTCGAAGAGTACCTCGGCATCCCTACCGAGAGTTATCTAAGCGAATCGGTTGCGCAGACCGCTCTTTTGGTGGGAAATCCTTATGCCAATTTGATTTGGTAGATGTGATTGGATTCCAGGTGCAATTACGCTCAGAAGATTAGAAAGGGGAAGTGCAGAGAGTGGAGTGGACTTTAGCCGCAGTAGCTGCGCGTGGAGCGGGTGTGTGAATTTCTGTGTGGTCACAGGAGGTGATCGTGTGTACTCGATTGTAGAACAATTAAAAAATGTTCGAAAATTACTGGAATATCGGGAAAATAATCACTTTTTTGTATTAGATTGTGAGAAAAAACAAGCGTCACGATACGTAAAAGGAGAGACCGCTTTTGATCTTTGAGATTTGCAGCGTTCGCATAGCGATTTCGACACTAGTAATCAAGAGATATTACAAGAAATATCTGCTTAATCTTGTGCAGCAAAAAAACTTTCAATCATGTGTTGTGTTTCAGAGCAATTTGAAAGTTATTTCTTGTGCTGACATGACAATCGTCAAGACCAAGCAAGCGGAAGAGGTTTCGTGCTAGCTGAAAAGAATCAACTTGAATTTATAAGCAGTAGAGTCGAGTTCCACTTAATACGCGTTTCATAAGTGCTTTTCGAAGCGAAGGCACAGGCGCACAACCTTGATCTTGCCTTGATGTATACTCCATCTCTAAGAATCCAAACCGATTCACACCACCTTCTTTATTCTCTCCTGCCTCCCAACGAGCAGGTAATTTCCATCCAGGAATTCCAGGTTCACCCTGTGTGAGTGTAAAACTTTGATTGAGCCAATTCTCGCCTGGTTCACCTATAGCTAATTCCACTAATACTTTAGTCATTTCGCGTTCATCATGAACGGACAAGTTCAATGCATAAAATCGTTCTGGAACCACAGGATTCATAATATTAAGCCATCCTAGTGTATGCGCACAAATTTGTTGTTCTGGTCTTGGCATTGCATCAAAAAGACGATAAAAGTGATGAATATCAATGAGTCTAGAGAATAAAATGCGAGCTGTTTCAGGTCGAGCATGGAATGTTGTTGGCATACACGCAATGATCTTAGAAGCTTGATCACATGATATCCATCGATCACAAATAGCTGATTCAATCTGTACAAGTTTAAGCCCTACATTCTCCTTCGTCGCACCTGTGAGTCGAAATGTGTATGAGTGGTCGGCGACAAAATCCCACCCACGCTTAAAGATCGAAGCGCGTGTTTTAAGCCAAACTTCAGCTTGTTCTTGAGGTGTATCGTGTCCTGCTTTTCCTTCTTCATGATCAATAGATTTGATTGTCTCTCTATCAATACGCTTGAGTTGTCGCAATCCTCGTGCTCTTTGAGCTCGAGTAGGACCAAGAGTACCCAAAGCATCAGGAAGAATGACATCGATCTGAAGTACTTCAATGAGTTGATCAAATCTTCGATCACTAATCTGCGTCGTACCACGCTTTGGACGTGTAGTACTCACATAATCAAAACTTAATTTTCCACGACAAGGTAAGGAGTGAAAAAATGTATTAGTGAGCACAAGACGATGGCCATCCAATTCTTCATTACGAAAGTTTTCCCAATTACCATGTTGTGACGTATCAGCACGACCGGATCGAAGTTTGGAGAATAGTTTTTCACTTTGTGCGACTTCAGCTAATTTGTTTAAAGCAATTCGATCCTTGTGCTTGGCCAAGTCAAACGAGTAGTGAGCAGTTGGATTTCCAAGCACCACAGAGTATGCACTTCCCATTCGAGCTTTTAAACGACATCGTTGCATTAGTGTTAACGTCCGAGCTACAAGAATCTGTGCTTCTTTTGCTGTAAGCATTTGAGGTAAAAGTAACGCAATTGCTTCAATTTTCTTACTTTCAGGTTTCAAATAATGACATGCTTCAAGCACTTCATGAGCTTGAGCTGCACTTAATCGAATCTCCGAATCATACATCGCAACATGAAACAAATCATCTTGCTCTGCTTTCGACGTAGCTACTTCAGTGATATTTCGAATTAAGTGTTTAAGACCAATGCGTGAGATTTTTCCTTGACGAAAAGCTTCGTCGCTCGTAGCAAATGATTCACGATCATAAACAAAATCAATTTCCAACTGCCCATTTTCGGGAATGATCCATGGCTTTTGGGTTGATGCATCTAAGAGATAAACAAGAGCTTGATTTTCAAGATCATGATTGTCTTTATCTTGTCCAAGTAATTTACATTTGATGCGTTCTAACAATTGACCTTTCATAAATTCGACAAATTCATATTCCTCCATTTCATGATCTCCACTGATATCGTACGTAGCAATAGCATCTGCAATCTCTTTTTCATCATAATTCTCGATTCCTAACATCTTAAACGCTTCTTCAATCTCATCAGCATCAATTTTACCAGAGTCATCTTCATCAATCATTTGAAAGACAGCGTGGAAAAAAAAAGCACTAAATTCGCCTTCTTCAAGAAATCCTGAACCATTGTAGTCGGATTTCTCGAGCAATCTAGTCAAACTTTCAAGTTGAGGATTAAGTCCAATTTGATTCAAAACCATCATAAGTTCATCAACATCAATAGTTCCAGATTTGTCTCGATCAATATTCGCAAACAGGGCATCAAGTCCTCTCGTTTCTAAAGTAGTTTCCTCACCACTACTTTCTGCACTACGGTGTGCTCCGGCACCTTGATGTTGTTCAACCACAAGATTCTCCTTTTTAATCAACGTAATGATCTTTTTCGCTACTTTTGAAGATTTGTACGTAACTCGCACAAAACAACATCCTTTTCGGGTTGTTGCAAGCCGAACGAGCTCCATTGCAATCATTTTGTCATACGGTTCACGCAAATTAAGGAAATATCGACCCGCAGGCTCTCTTGGATTGAAAACTCGTGTCGATTTAGCATCATATACTGGAAGGTTTTGAACTGTCAAGTCCGAACGTTGAGAAAGTAGTGGAATAGAAGTACCCAGTGGCAATATATTGGCACCCAAGTTACATGCATGAAGCTCAAGGATGCATCCAACTGCTGATTGATTCGCACACAATGCTGCCATAAAGAATTGTCCACCTTCTCGTCCAAGATTATTGCCATTGAGCTGAAGTGTTCGTAGTGTACAGTTACTACGAATAGCATTAGCCAAGACCATAGCACCTTTGACACCAATACTATTGTACGACAAATCAAGCATCTGGAGACTTTTATTAAATCGTAGAGCTTCACCAAACATCATAGCACCGGCATCTGCACAAGCATTGTACGCAAGTTTGAGCTCAACTAATGTACAATTATCACGTAAAGAATTCGCAAGTGCAATGCTACTTTCAAGACGAAGATAATTCCACGACAAATCGAGATGCATTAGCACGGGATTCACATGCAACATCTTTGCAATTGCTTCGCCACCGGTGATAAAGTTTGGCTGTACGACATTTAAAGTCTCGGCTTTCCCAATACAATTGCGACTCATCCACAATCGCTTGATCGACTGATTCTTTTCGAATGCCGTCATGAAAGCTGCACACTCGTGATCGTCAATATCTGCATTGTCGACGTGTAAGACTTCTAACGAACATTTTGGTGATTCAATGTACGAGTGGAGTGTTTGAGCACTTTTGAACCCAATTATGTTCTGCGAAATGTCTAGCTGACGAAGTTTTAGTATCAAGTTGTCGTGACTCACAGCTTTTAGCAACACATTTAATCCGTTATCACTTAGACGATTGTCTCGTACACTAATCTCTTCGACACATGGCAAGTCATACGAAAGAGATCTGGCAAATGTAGCAATGTTTGTATCTCCAAGAGATTGAAATGAAAAGTCAAACTTTTTAGACATTTTAGAGCGGATCAGATAAGGAACAATAACATGCGATTCTCCCGCACAGGAAGCCAGAAATTGTGCTCGTGGAGACAAGTTATCGCATACTGGTAGCTGGCGACTTTCGTGTGGTATTATTGATGATGAGATTCTAGTCAGATGTCGTGGTGGATTCAACTCTTCATTAACTTTTTTTACTTCAAGGGAAGTTGGATACATGGGAACGAATGTCTTTCTGGAATTTATATTCTCTCGTGTGGATACGTCGTGTGCTGGTTCAAGACGAGAAACAACGTGATTGACACATTTGCTTTCCATGAACAAATAAGGACGCGAGTAAAGGTGCCTGTACTGTGCGTAAAACTTTTGTTTGGCACTATTTCCAAAGTAATCTCGATGATTTGCAGTGTCAAACACTAGATCTTGAGCTGATTGACATTCCAGAGTAGCAATCTTTCCATTAATTTCTTCATTCTGGCTAGAAGACTACGAAAGCATATGATTAACCCTCAATTTAAATGATAATAGCTTTGTACAAGTCATACCAAAGTGCCAGTCACATCAACGTTTTCACGTGTATCTGCGCTGCTTTTCTGATTCAAAATCAATCCTGAATGCGACATGGATTTTAACAATTTTCGTTCTCGATTCACCGATACAAGCCGCGTTGAAGATGCTGATCCATGCCGCAACATATGCACAATTGGACGAGGAGCTTCTTTTTCGATACATTGTACTTCTCGTTCCACTTCATCACTTACCTCAGGATCACCAACTAACTGCATTGTACGCAAATAGCGTCGTTTTGTAGCTAACGGTCGAAGATCTGGAGGAATCACGACCGGCAATTCTTTTTCAATTGATTCGAATGGCAACTTGGATATAGGAGCTGTATCACCAAATGTGTTTCTAGTCCACACATTCAAAAAACTTTAGGCTACAGTTCAAACCTTACATCAAAGATGCTCTCTTACCGATACCATGACACTTTACGTGAGATCTTCTCATGATAGATACGATTTTTCTCGACTGTACAATCCTCTTCGCCTGGAGCTGCAGAAGATAACAAAGGACCAAGTACTTGACTTTGCATGGTTGAGAATGGCTACATGTCACTCTTGTGTCGTTTCGTGTCCAATTTGATGTTGTGTAATTTACACCAATGTTCGATCTTGAAACGTCGTGAGCTACGCAACAATGGCTACTGGCTCAGTGACGCTGACAATTGATGTTGTTATGGACCGAGCAGGAGTTTATGACGTTTTAGCACTGAAAGAGGTGACTATAGTCTCATTTATGACTAATTTTGATCTTACTTTACGTGAATTCTAGTTGATATTACGTGATGAAACATTGGTGGATGTGGACGAGACGTGTGCTCAAAATTTAGCGTCGTTAGAAATTCTATCATTGTCGCACAACCAATTGACATCACTACAACATTTTCAGTATCTAGTCAACTTGATTGAGGTTTGTCATATATGAAATGATGTCTTCAATTCGAGAACTGAAATTCCTTCTGCAGCTTAACGTGAATTTCAACCAAATCAAGACACTTGACAATCTTGAGGTAATAAAGCGATTATTTGACAGCTCACAACTGCAAAAAAGTGATAGTGAAATGAGATTATTGATTATTGTAGTGCGCTGGACTCGAAAAGCTGTTTATTGCGAACAATCAGGTTTGCTATGCTTTTCATTATATAAAACATGTTCACATCGTGCACTCAAAAGATAATATTTCTCGAAATGAACAATGAACATATTAGATTGTTAACATTTCTCCTCTGCGTAAGCTTTTGAAGTTGAATACACTGTCAGTGTATGGAAATCAGATTATTGATCTTGACGCTGCATTGCATACATGTCGGAGTCTTCCTAAGGTGAGTAAAAATGTCATTTCGGAATACAAGATTTAAGCTCTTTACAATGATGGTAGCTGCGATCTCTAGATCTAGGCGGAAATCCGTGTTCATGTAATGTAAATGGATACAAATTTCGAGTTGTCAGAGCACTTTCGCGTCTTGAAATACTCGACGGAGATCACCTTACTCAACTTGACAAAGACTTGACTGAGAATTTCTTTGCTTTTTTGCACAAGAAGACCGTTGAGGACAATAATTGGCAAACTAGAGCTCGACCAGTGACCGCACCAGCCGGGAAAAGATACCCAGTCACCTCAATATCAAATGGTAGTGTCTATTTATCATTTTCAATAAAACACAAACTGATTCCTTTGGCTGCTAGATGCTGATCCATTTGCTAGCCATTTAATGCCTCGTGGCAACGTTCGTTTGTTCCGTGATGATTTTTTCAACAATAGTCCAATATTATTGGAGTATTTATCACAAGACGCAGGGGTATCGCCAGCATCTACTTATCAACTACAAAGCGAAGATGTTGACAATCACGAACTTTCATCCAATTTTGTTGATAAAATGCGCAGCGCAAATCCTTTATCGAAAAGTGATATGGAATTGACTGAAGCGGATACGTTGGACTCAACTTTGACAGCAAAAATAACATTGTCACCAAACATTTTAACGTCACATTTAGACATCGATCCATCTGATCCCAACACTACAATTCGAAAATTGTTGAAACATATTGAAGTGCTAATGGTATGATTGTAGAAACTACAATGAATGATGATGTACCGATCGATTGTATTCGTGAAAAACTATCAGGAAACACTGACGAAGTACAAGAATTGTCAACTAAAAACAGTCAATGATTCTTTGCTGGAAGAGATCAAGCAATTGCAAATTGAAAACAATAATATTCCAATTCTTCAAGAACAGATTCAAGACTTGAAGAAACAAGTCGCAAACTTGAAAAGTCATTCAGATGATAGAGGAATGGACGAAGCAAAAAGCTTTAAATCAATGAAGGTATTGTACTTGTATTACATGCGACTAACTTGCAGCTGAGAAGTTTGTTCTTATCGTCTTTAGCAACAAAATGCAAGTTTGAAACAAGAAAATGCACGATTACGACAACTACTTGGACGAACGAAAGAGATGGAGGAATCTGATGAGCCAACAAGATGTTCAAAAGATACCGTTATACCAAAACGATTGTCTCATTCTAAGGTGCGTAGAGATGCTTATCACTTATAAAGTATTGCTTTTGCTTACTGGTCTGAGCTCGTTTTATTACTACAGCTACTTGATGAATCTGCACTAATTGATGTGGAGCTAACTGAACTAATTCTTCAGAATGAAATCTCATTAGAGCTCATTCGCAATGTGCGTGATGAGGATATATCACTTGATCAAGACTAATAGTTGATCTACGAACAGGACATTATAAAGACGAAAAAAGAGTGGAATAACCACTATCAGCAACCACAAGCAGTATCAACGATACAATCACGTCCTCAGACGTCAATGGGGTTCGTTGATTCTGAGACCAGTCGATCAGACTCGGTCATTCCACGCAATGTGGCTCGAAGAGGTAGTTTTGATAACAGCATTGGTTTTATGCTGATGAAAAGTACTGACTTTTCCTTACAGCAAGCGAAGACAGACGGATACATACGGCAACAGAAGATCGTAATGGACCTACTGCACAAATGCTGAAGCAAATTTCTGTTCATCCTTTTACCTCTAGAGAGTCACGTAGCAATCATGACAGTCCAAAAACAAACGTTCTTACCTTATAAATGTAAGTGCCAATAATATTGTCAAATCACAATCTGCAACTTATTTGTCCACAATAGTTTTCTAGAAATACAAACACAATGCATTGCAGTTCCCCCTCGATCAACGTCAACGTTATCACTGTCCTATTATGGTAAGTCCATGTACAAGCGCTTTAAGACGTCTCAAGAGTTGCAGCATCTGGCCACGTGCCGTCTTCTAAGACAGGCCAATTTGTCGAGTTTCGTTCATGTTCCGGTACTAAAAGCTCGCGCGTACTAATATCTACTTGCGAGAGTTCTGTTGCAAGACATCACACAATCAATCTTAATCATTTGTATACAATCAATTCAACGTTTCTTTTATCGTACCTTGCAAGGTGAAATTAAACAACGCAGGTGATGGTGCATCATTGGGCAACTTCAGGTTTTTCTGTCGTAGCTCGTCAAAAAATGGATGCGCTGCGGCTTCCAAAGGCTTCACACGTCTAAGATTTTATCAGCATCAAAAATTAGCGCAAGGATTTTTTATAATCATATAAGAAAACACACCTTTTCGGATCATAGACCAGCATTTTGGACAGCAAGTCAATTGCTTCTGGTGGCGTTCGAGAGCGAAAAATCTTGCTCCAAGAGTGAGCTTTGATCTGAGGGAACTGAAACTCCGTGTAATTTGGGTTCATGGCTTCAATCTCTTCACGTTGTGGTGTACCCAGCACTTTTATGATCTCAACCAATTGATCCACACCACTCTCGCCTGGAAATAAAGGCTGTCCAAGAAGTAACTCGGCACAAACACAACCGAGTGACCAAATATCTAATGAAACAAAACAATTCAATAATCAGAATAAAAGACAATCGATCATCTACTACAATGCAATAATGTTACCAATTGCTGTCGTATAATCTGTTGCACCAAAAATCAGCTCGGGAGCGCGATAATAACGGGAACAAATGTATGACACATTGGGTTCATTCTTTTGCAATACTTTGGCACTTCCAAAATCGCACAATTTTACCACATGCGATTGAGGATCAAGTAGCAAATTTTGTGGCTTAATATCACGATGGCAGATGCCCGTAGAATGGATATAAGCCAACGAACGACAGATCTGGTAAATATAAAGTTTCACAAGTACAATAGGCATGTACTGTTTTGCCTTTTGTAATTGCCTCGCCACTCCATAGACAGTATCCGGGATAAATTCAAGCACCAGATTTAGATACAACTCATCAGGTTTGTCTCCATTGCAATAGAAACAGTGCTTAAGTTGCACAATATTTACATGGTGCAACTGTTGCATGATCTGTAACTCGCGATTCTAACAATATTATCAACATATTTGCAATAAGCTCAACTGCAAAAATCAGTCTAATAATTCTCAAACACACATTTTCACCTTAAAACGTTTGTCTTGCAAAACTTTCTTGATCGCGACAATCTCACCGGTTTCCTCTACTGTAGCTTGAAATACAACACCAAACGATCCATTGCCGATGATCCGCTCGGCTGAATAGTGGATGGTTTTGCCCTATTGAATATCCAAAACATAAAAGTCAACTCCGCGCCTTTTCAAAACTAATATTGTAGCATCGTACATCCGAGAGTGTATGGGCTGAGTCGCCGACAGTAATGCCTGTACTCTCATTACGCATATCTTCCTTCTTCTTTGTATTTGAAGCTGTTGTCTCCACAGTTTCAATGTCGTCGTCTGTACGAAGCTGCCGCGACGAATCTTTCGTCGCCAAAGGCTTGGAGGCGTCGCTCATGACGGGCAGACTTGGGAGGCTTTTATGCGTTTTAAAGGGAAGTATACTCCAATCAAGGTTTTTACTGAACAGTTTAAACGCAGTGATTGGATGAAAATTAACGTACTTCAACTTGTCGTCTTTAAATAGTGCTATAGGAAACGTATCCTTCTCATTGCTATTTAAGCTGCTGAACATGGGATAGTGACACTAAATAATAGATGATAGCATGTCAAAACTCGCATTTCTCATCTTATATCATGAGTACCAATTCATTGATTTCTTCCTATGCCTTTGATCATGTCTTTCGTCACTTCTGGGTACTAGCAATACTCTGGTCTACGAATCTTGACAATCTAGTACATGCACAAAGTGATTCTTGGCATTCCAATGGTAAATATCCCTCTCCAACTCTTCTTATAGATGCTACGAATGAACAATTAGAGTTTTGCACTCCTCGCCATCTCGATACAATGCGTGATCATCCAGTACCAACGAATGCATGGTGGGGAAATCTTGTCACGTGTGATCGTACAACGAATGCCACTGGACCAATTTGGTCGAATCCATTTGCTATTAGTGTTGAAGACTCGGGTGCGTATGGTTTTGCACTTAGTTATCCATATCGTAATCGATTTTTCGGTGGTGTTATTGATGGGGTTGCGAAATATTATGCACATCCAAAGCGTAATGAAATTCAATTAACTGCGTTAGAATTTGCTACTTCGATTCCAGATATGCAAGTGACGAATTGGACGGATCTAGGTGTTACAGTACAACTTCAAGCCCCATCCTCAACGGGTTTAATGAAATCGAATATGATAAGTGGCATGGCTTACTTTACGACAACGTACAAAGGACTTATCCCTGAAATTCTTTTTGAAGCTCCTATTGCAACGATCAATGGGGAAACAGTGAGCGTTGGCACTCGATACGTTGGGAACAAGTTTCAAATTCTTGCTGTTAGTGGCCAACACTGGTGGCTACATGTTTATCCAACGTCTTCTTCAACAAAATTTGAAATGAATCTTGCGACTAGCATGATTTTGCAAGGAGTTGAATCATTTGACGGAATTCTTCGCGTTTCGGTTATTTTAGATCCTATTCAATCGATTGCACAAGACATGTATAGTAGTTGTATCGTAACGGGAGGAAATGTTGAAGTGGCTAGTGACTCGAGATATTCGTTTCAATGGAAAACACAAGGAAATTGCTCGAATGGATTATTTCACTACGCTCTAGATCATCATACTAAGTCTCTTACTACAGCTAGTGTAACAGAAGTAGTGGATGTTGCCATGTATGCAGCTACTCGAGGTCGTATGAGAGGTTTTGTCACTAAATCATCTCCACCTGAATGGTGCTTTTATGAAAACTCCAACATTCCAGTGACGCATTATCCACAATCTCGTTTAACGAAACGTGAAGCTTCTCAGCAAGATCTTTTAACGAAATTGCGTGCTGATATCCAGGGATTGTGGACAGTTGCAAGTGATGGAAGTTATTATTTCACAGGCAAATTAGTTCAACAGTATTCATCGTTGTGCCTTATGGCTAACGATCCAGTGATTGTAGGAACAGATGTGTCGTTGTTACGACGTTGTGTGACGAAATTAGAGAGTGCAATTGCTCCATTTCTCGACAATAGCTGGAAATACAAACTCAAGTACGATTCAGTCACAGGAGGTGTCGTGAGTTCTGAGGGGTTTATCACTGGTGACATGAATGCTGACTTTGGAAACACTGTTTACAATGATCATCATTATCATTATGGCTATTGGATATACATGGCTTCGGTTCTTAATTATTTGCATCCTACTTGGTCACGAATCAAAGAGCTGAATGAAATGACAACGTTATTGCTGCGTGATGTTGCTACTCCATCTCGCGAGGACCCATATTTTCCAAAATTTCGTGGTTTTGACTGGTTTAGAGGTCATTCGTATTCCCATGGCCTGACACCACTTGGAGATGGTAAAGACGAAGAATCAACGTCAGAAGATATTAACTTTGCCTACAGCATGGCATTATTTGGTCAGGTGACAAACCATTCGAGAATGGCAAATATAGGTCGATTGATAACAAAAGTGAGTGTACGTTCCATTCAAACTTATTTCCTCTTTGATAGTTCCAATACTATCCACCCTACTGCTTTTCGATCTCGAATGGTGCCTGGTATTCTCTTTGACAATAAAGCTGACTATGCTACGTGGTTTTCCGCTGAGGAATATATGATCCATGGGATTCAAATGCTTCCTGTGACCCCTGTGACAGAATATGTGCGCACATCAACTTTTGTTCAGGAGGAATGGGACAATATATTGTCCAAATTAAATATTGTCAAAAATGATGAGCTGTCGAATTCATGGCTTTCACTCTTATACCTCAACTATGCTCGTGCGAACAAGGAAGACGCTCTCGCAAAACTCAATCAGTGCACTTCAATGATGAACGGGCTATCACGCTCATGGGCTCTCTACATGGCATCACAATATTAAAATAGCATCGAAAACACTAAGTTTTATTCACCCTTTCAGTTAAAATATCATTTTAAATATCACTCTTTAAAATTGCAATTTTGCTATTGTTTTACCCAAATTACCTGAAAGCTCTTGTTTCAGATCATTTTCTTCATACTCAGCCAAGAAGAGAATGCTCAGGACGTCAAAAATTTTGTTTTTCTCTTCTATCGTCTCAGCTTTCACATTGCGAGCATACGGAGGCGTTCGAAAATTAGAAGCAATACATTCCCCAAGCACAAGACGCAATTCTTGCATCAAGACAGCTGAACGGAACGAACTGTGGATGACCACCCAGTCATCCACTCGCAATCCAATCGTTTCGTATCCATTCTTGTCTTTGCGTCGCAATTGTGGTAACAACTCAAATGTCCGACAAAAAAGACACACGGCCAAAGGTAATACCAAACTCGAAGCTGGAAGATAGATCTGGGACGTGTGTAGCTTGACAGCGTACGTCAGAAAGTTACTTGCAGAGAAGCTGACTACTTTGTAGTTGATAGAGCTTGGATGCATCACGACAATGCCATGATTTTGTTCACGAAAGATTGGACGTTTCGAACCATATGCTAGTGATGGCTCAGCATGGACTAGATTGGGAGCCAAACCAGCGTATAGAATCGCAGACATGATTGCCAATTGCTGACGATTCATCCGTTCGCATTCCGTTGATACAGACGGTAGAAAGCCAAGCTGGGCGACAACTCCTTGAAACTGACGCTTGAGTTTACTAAGTTCTCGAAGTCCTCGAGAACTTAGGAAATGCTGCTGGCAAAAGCTCTTTTCGTTCACACGATCTTTCTTGCCGTGTTGTACAACGTATCGCCACGCTTCAAAGGCGTTCACATCTGTGAGTAAATCGCTTGCACCTACTGCAAATGTCTGACGCATCTGTTTCATGTCATTCTGGCGACCAAATGGTGCAACGAACGGCGACTTGGTTTCTAAAATGGCTGCACAGGTGCTTGCAGCGTCAAAAACTCCAAATAGTGCTCCCAATAGGAGCAACTTTCCAACTTTCACGTCCACCGGAAGTTGGACTAAATGGCTACCCAATTCTGTCACTCCTTCGTCCTCACGATTTAGTGCGCCAATCTCAAACAGCTCGTCAAGTGCGTCTTGGATACTTTTGTCGTCTGGTGGATCTAAACACATACGAAGAAAATCTCTACATCCATCTTTTTGTTGCCCATTCGAGCTTAAGGTCTTGATCTGTAAGCATAGAGAAGTTAATGGAGCACGTCGAATCTCCGGTATAGGCTGTTCTAGCATCACAGAATTAAAGATTGACTCAGGAAAAAGACGGAAACACATGCCGCCACTTGTACGACCAGCACGACCTGCGCGCTGCTTCGCATTTGCACGTGCGATCCAGATTTCGTCCAGTACATTAGTGCGATGCTGTGCGTCATGACTCATTTGCTTGACGCGTCCTGTATCAATCACGACCTTAACGTCATCGATCGTCAACGACGTCTCAGCAATATTGGTCGCAGCAATTATTCGAATAACTCCAGCACGTCGTTTAAAAATGCGCTGCTGCTCATCTGCTGACAGTGACGAGTGAAGAGGGAGCAACTCAAAGTCACGACCGTGTGGATCATGGCTCAGGAGGCGGCTACCATCCAATAAGTTCAATAGCGTTGTAATTTCTTGGAGACCAGGAAGGAATATAAGAACCGATGCGCTCGATTGACAACTTGATAACGATAACATATCTGTCTCTATCGTCACATATTCCAACAGTGCTTGAATGAGTTCGTAATTGACAACAGATGGATCCAAACGCCTTAACGCACGCCGAGTCGACTCACTATACGTTTCTGCAAGCAATTCTTGCTCACTTATTTTTGAAGTCACAGAAGATCCCAGAGTCGACGTCCAAGATACCTGCTGTGTGTACGATGTGCCTCCACGTCCAGAAATCGTCACTTGGGTCGAGTGTTTATACGAAGGGCTTTGCTCGTCACCGACGTAAGCTGGAGATTCCTCGTCGACAACAAAATGAGTTCTTTCAAGCACATCTTCGAGGTAAAATTGCTCGACAGGAAATGTACGACCAGGTACTTCAACCATCGGGCATACTGCAGACCCACCAAAATATTGCTGAAAACTTGCTGCACTCAGTGTGGCACTCATAAGAATCACCTTTAAAGGCGGCAATGTTCCACCAAACTTTCGTCGTCTCGCAGCATTGCGTTCGGCAAGAAATTGACGCAACATGGCCAGCAGCACGTCACTCTGCAGATCGCGTTCGTGCACTTCGTCCACAATTACGTGACTAACTTCTTCGTCTAATGTACGGGTATCTTGTAGCTTTCGCAGCAAAATGCCAGTTGTACAGAAGAGCAGACGTGTGAGTCGTGATAAACGCGATTCAAGACGAATCTGGAAACCTATGAGCGAGTCTCCCGTACCCATGTTTGCTTCCCCTAGCTCGTCAGAAACACGTTCAGCTAAACTGATCGCAGCAAGCCGACGAGGCTGCGTACAAATGATCTGGCCACGTGCACCGCCGTGGGCGGATAGCAGCATATTTTCGAGTAGAAATTGCGGCACTTGCGTACTTTTGCCACATCCAGTCTCACCAGAGATCAAAATGACGTCGTGATCTTCAAGCATTTCGATTATTTGCTGTTTAAATGACGCAATGGGCAAGGAATCACGCTGCGGGAGCTTTGAGCGGTGTGCACTAGATCGCATTCGCTTTTCAAGCACTTGACGTAGCTGATTTGACAGCTTTAACGCATTATCACGGTCTTTTTCGCTCTCTTCTTCGACCTGTAGATCATTAAACGATACTATTGCTTTACTTATCGTCACAGTATCTTTAACCCTTGAGTCGTCGTCAGATAAATCGGCGTCCCAGTCATCCACATTCCAATCACACAATGCAGCTTCTGTTTTTTTCTTCAAAGGCGTCAACGTCACTGCTGGTTCGAGTAGAGCTCTTTTTTCTGCAATTTCAGGAGGAAGTGCGTACAGAATTTCCGTAAGCAGCTTGTCCTGTGCATTGTCATCGGCAGCTACGACCGCTGCGTCTGCCTCTTGCTGTTCCTTTATCCATTTCTGCCACATCTCGCGATATACTGGCGGTAACACTCGATACAGTGGTAAGTTCGACGCGAGTTCGAACAAAGCGCTCGTTGCGACAGCATCTTTCGCTTTTGAAATTGAATCAAACCCATGAGCCACATCTTCAGCATCTCTGACGTTACAAATATAGACGTCGCCGGTTTTGTCGCCAAAAGTGACAGAATATAAGTGTGTTTCATTCACAGGTCGAGCTAGCTTCTGAAATTGTGGTTTGTTAAATCCATTCTTTTGACAATACTGCTCTAAGTGATCCCGTGGCGATTTTCCCGTCCATGTAGCTGTTGTAGCTTCCATCTGAGTTTGAGCAGCTGCTGCTTGAAGTTTCAATACATTACGTCCTTTCTTGTTCTTTCCTCTTTTGGTTTTTTTCAAATCTGGAAGGTTTGCAATTGCTTGTGCGGCAATTAGAGCCGCTGGATCAATTGCTGCACTTTTTGAAATCTCTTGAGCACTCACTACTGTGGCTTCCGCTTGTTCTAACAGCCCAAATATACCATCGTCATCGCCGTTATTATCTTCATTAGATTTCAATGTATCAATAGTAAAGTTGACTGCTTGAGTCTCTCTCACGGTCTTTTCACTCTTCTCTTCGGTCTCGTCATCTTTGGCGTCGTCGCAAGTCAGATCGAAAGCTAGCGACATCAATTCACTATCTGATGTCAATGTCTCTGAGGAATAGTCTTCTTTATCAGCAACTATCGTTTCGTTTCTCCTAACAGTTTTATCATCTTGCTGCTTAGACTTTTTCCACCCTAAAGCAAGTAATTGACATTCTCTTTCTTGAATTTCTTGCTTAAGTTTACATATCTCGAGCTTGTCGCCTCTCTTCTTCATCTTTCGGTCTTGAAGGCAATGCAACGCTGCTATCACGGCATTATAGCGCTCAACTAGCTCCTGCAACTCGCGAGATTCACAAGATATTTCATTTTCAGCACAAAGTATCTCTTCTTCTTTTTTAGCCATATCTAACACATATTGTTGCGTCCATGATCGCGCATTCTGGGTTGTATCCTCGATTTTATTCAAACCAGTAGGGTTTTGAGAGCAACTTGGCAGCATTTCTGACTTCTTCGTATCTGCTTGATCAAATTCATTCTCTTTCTTGTTAACATTCACCTCAGCCAGAAGCTCACCATCGTTCTTGTCCATGCCATTTCGACTCAAAACTTCCTTTGGTAGAGCATGCAATGTGGGTGGTAACTCCTCGCTTGTGTATTGCAGAGCCAGGAAATTCAGTGCATCTTCTAGCGAATTTGTATACGCCAAAGCTTCTTTGCTCTGTGCTAACGAGACACCGTAGTCCTCGCGTAAAGATCGTAGTACACGCGCTAGTTTCTTCTTCGTGCGCTGCTGCAGATGAATATCAGCAGGATCTGATGAGACTAAGACACCAGGTCGGAAGCGTGAGCGCTGTGCGTGACAGTTCGAGCGGAGGACGTTGTTGTGTACAAGCTGCTCGAGATCGCGCCTGAACTCAAAGCCAGGCTCCATGGACCAACGCGGTACTTTATTTGTATTCGGGTGGACTTTTTTAGACAAACGTGAATGTTGGGATATATACCAATAATTCCAACAATTTGTGCGATTATCGTGTGACTCGAATATTGGCGTTCAGTTACTAAACCGTGTTGATTTTTTTGGCGGCAATGTCCAATCTGGTCTCAAGCACATCGAGCAAGATTGACAATATCTTGCTGTTAAGCACGGATCTTGTTCCAGAACAACGGCTAACGGCAAGTCAGATTGCTGAGGAATAGACTGGTTGTATCCTCAATTCGTGACAAGATGGCTCATATTATTATGAAAGGATAAATGAAGATAGACTTATGGGAAACAAGTGTCCCCTCATACCTCAAATCACTCTCATTTGAACTTATGGCAAATGTCTGCTAAGTGTTGCAAGGGGTTGATCCCACCGAATCGGTACGGTTCGTACTAGCAGCGGAACTGAGCTCATCGTCTGGCATGGATGGGTATCTAAGGAAGAGAGCTAGCAGAGTACAGGGTGCGAGGGTTGAAGCGGCTTTCCTCAAGAGTCCAGCAAATCAATTATAGCCTGTTCTGGAATGTGAACACGACGTGGTGATCAACAACCCACGTCGCATGGTGCCATTAAATGCATTGCACACGTCAAAGCTTTTACTTTAGAACGAGTTGGACATCATGAATGCTCTTTTTTCTTGCGAAAGATTAGGCACGATTGGCGAGAGTGAGTACTTGGAGACGAATTTTAGTATGAGAAAGGTGAAGGGCCAGCAATTCTTGCATGCTTGTGCCAAGCTAAGTGCAGTCGGTCTTGTGCACCAGTTCATAAAGAAATGTGCTGCAGATCAGCATGATCAGTTACATCTGCTCAGTGCTATTGACCTGATGTATATTGTCAACCGCTGATGAGTGACAGCAATAATATTCTTACCGCGATGAGCACTCCGAACGGAATATTTTTATATACCGCAAGGGCTGTCTAACGCACCAGCGACGTTCAATCGCCAGATGACGCAGCTGTAAAGGTCGCGGCTTGCTTAAGTACAAGGCACCTTTAACGACAAGTTTGTCTTTAGTCGTGCGAAGCAGTAACGTTAACTATAATTCCTAGATTTGACATCGGTAAGCAGTGCTCGAGTGTATGCACATCAATAAGCAATTTGCCAATATATATATTGAAGCGACTTTAGCGTCAGCAAAATAGTTTTCTAGTACGCCTCATTACGAAGTATAGACCCAAACTATTGTGCAAATGAGGCCGGCTTCACATTGTCCTTCGCCAATCTCGTTAATCAGACAGTCAAATGGTGCCAAGAAGCAGCGGAAAATGACGGTCTTCTTGGCCGCAAAAGAAAGTTTTATGTGAAACCCGATTCTGGAACTTCTATATCAAAAAAATTCTGCCATTTCGTACCATCTATGACGCCCCAACCGTTGCCCTTAGCTGTGTTTAATTCCAAGCAGATGTAATTACATAATTTGAATCGCAAAGAATCATCCTGTTCATGTTCATGACAGGGTGCTACTGGCGTCCTCGCCATTTTTGGATACACCTTGGATCTAAGCCAATTTTGATCTATGTAGATCATGCGTCGCTGCTCGTAACGAGGTTGTCACTATATATGTCACTAAGAAGAGCAAATTTAGTATTATCATTATTGCATATAATTTCGAGGTAAGAACTCGTTTTCACATCGCCCAGACTTTGAATGGTCGAATTGACGGGTTTACCTCAACATGTATTGCACTGTTGAAATCTTCGTGGGTAATATATGGATGTCGATTCACCGAAGCGTTCGGTTTCACGTTTGCACCGCCAACGTTTGCTCCAGAACTTATTGTATTACAACGCAAGCCCAGTCGACACTTAGCGGTTGGTTTCATCCGTGGCGATAACTTCAAGTGCAGAGTACTGTATGAGGCTCATGGTATGGCCATCTCGATAGCGAGAAAATTCCCGGCTTAATATGTGATAAATACTAGTGCAAAAAAAATTCTATGGGTAAGAACATTATGTGCACGTGCTAAACGACTAAAGCGTATATAATTCTCACCCAGCACCCTTGGTCACTATGCCGGATCCAGTGGAGTTGTTTACTCTCAATATGCTACCTGTACTACCGATATTGTGGTCTTTCGGATTGTCTGAGCAAGAAGGCTACTCTTGTTATTTTCAGCGATACCGTCAACGGTGAAGTTACACCCAGATTATTTCGGGACGACACCAATTACCGACATGACATGCCGGTGGCCATCATTGTGGGTCCAGATATGCGCTTTGCACCAAAGGTTTGAAAAGCTTTGTTGGATATTCTTGGCGTCAGACTGAACTTAACACGCACCATACCCAAACAGATAATTCGACGGCAGGTTTCACGCGGCAAAGGAGACCTGCAGAGGATTCGCGCGGAGAGACCGCGTTACTGGTACAAAATTTAATGCGCCGTCTTTTTTAGTATACGTTTAACAAAGCAGCAGTCCGCTATAGATATCCCATCGATTTCTATCAATCGTTTGGCGAACCTTCTTGCCTTAAATCACACCACGAAGTAGCTTAATTATGGAAATGGGCTGCCATATACTTCGACTTGCTGATGTCCGCCCATAGAGATTTCTTAACCAAATCAAGAGGGTTGAGCGGCACGCGCCGAGTGCGCGACGCTATTGCTTAGAGCCAGACAATACTACAAAGTCATCCAATTATCAGGTACGTCTTCACATCCTGGTTCCTAAGGCGCGTCAAGGTTCATTGTACCGACGTCCGGCTTCTTACCGGCCGTCTGGTTTGTTGCGGGCTAATGACAGCACCCAGAGGTCACGGGGCGGTCTACTGGGGGAGAACTGAGTTCTGTTGAATTTCGAGGAGGTAACAGTCAGCAGGGCCCAGCCCCGAAAGGCTCCGTGCTCTTGAACACGGAAAATGTATGCAAGTCGGGCTTGCTGGTCGTAAAAGCGACCGTAAAGAGCTTTGAGAAGCCACGGAAGATCCTGATCGATTCTAGGGCGTCGGGCAATTATACTCGACGCTTCGCAATGGAAGGAAGTCAGCTGTGTGCTGAGGCGCCGAAAGCGCGATCGGGTGACACCGTCACTGTAGAGAAAGCTAAGTAAGCTCGGTGACCTTCGTTCAATACCAGGACCAGTGCAAGTGTGGCGGATCGCAAGTCGCTTACTCCAAGAGTAACCTTACCACAACCTTAACCCAAGGCAAAGAAGCTCTTCTGGTCGCCTATATATCAATCTATTGGTTTTCCTAATTAAATAGTAAAACCTTATCAAAATGCGTACCTACTGACAGTCCAGCCACGTGCTGACATCTGGTTAGGGTGTAGCCACGCCATTGTATGATTACACCGTCTTGCGTAACACACACCCTTGTATGGTTACACCATCTTGTGTGACCTTCATACCAGGGTACATGTAACCCGGTTATAGGCGGAGTAATGTAGAGTTGGTGTTCCCTGTTCCCTATGCCAGGACCGGCAAAGTGAGGAAGCGGCTGGGTGTTGCAGTCTTCATGCCCGGGCTGCTGGAGTCAAAAAGCAACTGCAAATGGAGAATAGATGGGCTGGGTCCTGCTTATTAAGAAATAACAATCCTTGTCATGATGTGTTGTTTCAACCGTCTGACGAGCCTACCGCTCAGAGCAGTAAAGATACACGGGTATTATTCACTTGTGAATGGAGTAATTGAGGTATCCCAAGTCCATTCAATTCCTCAGGCTTTACGCTGTCGTTGGCAAATTTCGCAAGTCAGGTTCACTGGCTAATTTTTGGTTTTCTATTTCAATGACCCTGGTTCATTTCTTTTGCTTACAAGCTAATCCTGGTCATATTTGAACTGGCGGTGAAACCCTTGATTGATCATGTGATTTCTCCAACATCAATCGGGCAAGCTTCTGACTATCACTCATGATATCGATCAATATGGTATAAGAGCAACCTTTTAGTGTTCGCCTTATTTCTAGACAATCAAGATTGAGGTTATGACTATCTTCAAAATTGGGTACGCATGGTTGTTATGAGCCCAGTCTAGTTTCTGCGCAATATTGATTATCCACCCTGTAAAAACAGGTGCTGAGGAGTATAGATTGATGACACCAGTAAGCTGAAATATTTGAAGATCAAATGTCTCTCTCTATTATAACCAAAGAGCTAACTTTTAAGGTACTTATTAAAACTAAGAGTAGAATGCTTGAAATCAGGTGTCTTCTCTTCCGTCGTTCTCAATAAACAACTTTCTGTTACTTGTACCTATCAGTCACAAGGCCACGCTGCACCCATGGCCAACCTCGCGTCCAACGACTACTATGAAAATCTCGGTGTATCACGCACAGCTACAGCACAAGAGATTAAGACGGCGTACGTTGCTAGACCAGTAGAATTAAGTTTATACTGATTTAATGTCTCTGTTTTCTTAGCTATCGCAAATTAGCCATCAAATATCATCCAGACAAGAATTTTGCAGATAAGCTCACGGCTGAGGCCAATTTCAAGATCGTGGGCGAGGCGTATAACGTGCTTTCGGATAATGACACGCGCAGAATCTGTACGCTTGCGCAACTATCGCTTTCTCACTGAGTGTTCTTTTGCACTGATTATATTTCTTTGATTTTAGACGATATTTATGGCAAGGAGGGACTAGAGGATGGCGCACAACCCATGACGAAAGAACGTGCCATGGAAATTTTTGAAGAGTTTTTTCGCTTTGGCGAGGCGATGGACCCGGATGCTCCTAATCGCACTAAGGGTATTCGACGAGCAGCAGGTGGTGCAGTCTATGCACCAGCTAAGGGTATTTTGTACGGCGGCAAGTCGATTGTGGGTGGTGTTGTCTTAAGTGCCGCTTCTGTGGTTGCTGGTGAGTCTATTACTAGGATGTCACCAAGTATGAGAGTCGTAAATTGATGCTTTAGCGTAAATTGTTCTAGGTGCTGGCGCAATGGTCGTGAACGTAGCTGCTGGTCTTAAAGAAATGGGTGAGGCTGGTGTTAATGCAGCACGTAAGCACAAGGATAACAAAAATGCAAGCGACAGTGAAAAAGAAGTTCCTGTCGTGACGGGAGGAGACGGAAGCTCTGGTGCTGGAGAACACGGAGACCATAAAACAGCGATCGTTTCTATTAACCAAAAGCCCACTCCTACATTCATGGGAGGATTGAAGAAAGCAACCATTGGTGCTGTTGCTGCTCCTGTTGCGGTATGTTTCTTGTGCATCCTTCAAGAACCTTCTGATGTAATGAAAGTCATTGGTTTTTGGCAATTTGTAGGCAATTGTGACAGGAGGCGGCGTGTTGCTTGCAAGTGGTGTCGCAGCTAGTGGTTATGTAGTCGGTGGTTTTGCTGGCGCTGCTACGAACGTGGCAAGCGGAGTGCGCGAGGTAAAAGCAGCAAATAAGATGGAGAAGAAACGCCGCGCCGACAGTGCAACTAGTACCCAGGACTCTACGGCATCAACGAAGAGTTCGCCGGAATCATATATGTTTCCAAGTAAAACTGTTTCAGGGGAGGAAAAAAACACCTCGGCAGCTCAGACCGCTTAGATGATGAAAAACACACAAACGTGAATCGTGTGTATCTAGAGACGAGTTCATAAAATGCATTGTAAACATTGATCTACAAGTACCATACGATCCGTTGTGATTTAATTCTAACTCGAGACTGAGGTATCACGCATCATACCCGGACCACCAATAGAGCTAGTGAAGCATTCAAACCCTTTGGACTCGAGCTGGGCTTTCAGCTTTAATACGTCTTCGTTGCTTAAACTACGTGGTAGTAGAGAAATTGTACAGCCGCCTCCACCTGCACCAGTTAATTTTGTAGCTCCGTTAAATTGCTTGCAGATACGCACCACTTCGTCAATTTGTGGGTGGCTCAAGCCAAGATTAACGAGAATTTGATGATTGTGTTCGATTTTCTGACCCAATACTTCTTCAGTTAACACCTTTTGCTCACTGAGCGCCACAAATTTTTCCACAAGTTGCTTAATAGTGTCAAACTGCTTTTGTACTGCTTCGCGATCCGAATCATAGCGCTTTCGCACGATAGCAACTTGTTCTCTTGTGGAACGCGGAACGCACGTGTTTACCAAAAGGAAACGAAACTGGTCTAATGGGCACTGAATGCGCTCAAATGACATGTCTGGTAGCGTTTGATAGAGCAATGTACCACCATAACAGGCCACCGTATTGTCTGCGCCTGAGGGTGTACCATGCAGAATAACCTCGGCAGCAAATGCGTAACCGTTGACAAACTCTAGCTCATGCTTTCGGGGATTGCTCGATAGCTCTGCAAATGCTCCAGAAAGAGCTACAGACATTGCGGCTGAAGAACCTAGACCCGCACTGATGGGCAAACCACATGCTTTTACCTCCACACGTAGCCCTCCTTTTAAACTGTGCCAGAATACAAGAGTAAATTAACAAAGACTGAAGCAGCTACCAAATCGACAGACTTACCCACTGAGATACCCGGACACACGGAGCATAGCACAGCACAGAAAAATTGGAGCTCGTAATGCATTAGCGTCATCAGAAAACTCACCGTCCATAGCATGGTCAATGCGAGTCAACACCTCATGCGACGGAGTCGGTATGTAGTGAGACTCATCCTCCAGCCCGTCCACTAATTTCTGTAGCTTGGAAGTTGCATACATGCGAAGCAATGGCTTATTATCACGCTTGGATTTGATGTCTGGGCACGAAAAGCTAATCCATGGTTCTTTACCTGCAGGCACATGAAAGCACGTCTGCGGCCAACAGCAACTCAAGTCAATCGGTCAGCTTACACACAGTTCTGTATTTTGTTACGTACGATTGTTACTTGAACTCGTAATTCCGATAAGGCCGCTGCTACTACAGGACATCCGTAAACTACGGCGTGCTCGCCAAGTAGCAGCAGCTTCCCAGGCGCCGACACGCTCACAACTTGACAGTCTAAGGCCATTCCAATTGACAGCTTACAATGTCGGTACAGTGTACCACTTTGATATTGGTTAGTTTTTACGAGTGCGCAATTCGTGGCGGTATTTACGCGATAGGTCAAGTGCTTGTTGAAGTGACATTCACTTTCCTCCGCAGTCAAGCTAACCTTACTTTTATGCCATGTAGACGACGAAGCTGCGTCAAGTCACACGTGGATGGCGACGGAGAGACTTAACCGAGCACAAAGTGATACATTGCTTGCATCGGAAGTCATTGACGATACTAGCGCTGCCAGAATGGAGACTGTAGTGTCGTCGCCTACCGGACATGAGGATGCGATCGATGCCTCGACAGGTGAAGCGCTGTTTGAGCTCTCAAGTTACACGGGTGGGGCACCACTTCCTCCTATGGTAAACAGCGATATGGAACTTGCAGTGTCGTCTACGACCAACGCATCCCACGACCTCTTTGATCATGATTCTATAGATAAGAGCTCAATCGGGGAGGAGAAAAAGATGGGTCGACCCAGTCACCCAGCGTGGCAATATTTTACGAGAGGAGAAAAGCGTAATCGCTTTCACTACAACGCGTATTGTAAGTTTTGCCATGAGAACGGAGTTAAGTCCGTTGTAGTGCGTGGAGTATCAGGCAACATGATCCGACACCTGCAAGAATGCATGTACTGCCCTGCTGAGGTGGTCACACAGTTGAAGTTGTTATGTGCACAGAAGGATGCCGCAAATTTTAACAAGAGACATCAGACACAGAATCGAGGCGCCAATATGTCGCTCCAGGGATCCCTCCCAGCGTCGAAAAAGGCGCGATATATTGCAAATCCAGAAGGGTCTATGCGAGATTCAATGGCAACCGCTGCTAAGGTCAGTGTTATACAGGATACAAGTGCATCTGAGGACTCCATGCCTTTCCAGCCACCATTAACGTCCTCCAGTATGAACGGAGAATTAACGACTGTCACATCTTCATCAAATTCGCTGAGCTTTAATGACGATCATTCTTCATTAGGTAACGAGGAGATATTTGCTAAGTCTCGACTCGGCAATGTTACGAAAAACCCTGATGAATATTTTGCCTGTCAAGCAGATGATGCGAACGATCATCATTTAAGTCAAGAAGTTTATAGCACCGGCAACTTCAATCAGCTGGTGGCCTCGTCAACGCTTCTGACCGGCCTACCGTGGGATTGGGTCTGGACAGAACAGTCTGCTTCAATTTTTGGAGAAAACTATTCGAGACTGCAATTGCCAAGCGCAGAAGTGCTGTCAGCAATGGTAAATGTATCACGTGAAGAACAGATTATCAAGATGAGAGGAGAAAAAGTTGGGGTCACACTTGCTGTGAGCTGGTTTGCGGCGTCGTTCCCAAAGTCGAGTTTTGTTCTGCTCTCTCTTGTCAACGCCCTCGGCGAAGCGACGACTTGGGAACTCATTGAAATGGGAATTGGCGACATTGCGCCTGGCACCGTAGCTGATAAAATAAAGTGCAATTTGGTGGATTTGCGGAAAAGCGGTATATGGGTGATCAACATTGTGACCGATACGAGTCTAACATACGAGGCTTCTCGACTTGCTGTCACTTCGTACAATCAAACTTTAGCGATTCCAGTTATACCATGCTTCTCCCACACATTACAGATGTTGTTGGGTGTCGTCCTCACAGGTTCCGACAGCTCTATGCAAACTTTTGGAAAAGTAGTTGACATTGTTCAAATGTTCTCGAGTAATCGCGTGCTAAACGTGCTTCGACGTGAGTGTGGCGATCTGGATGCAGTTTTGCATGGACCTACATCTCACAACTGGTATTCTTTTATTGAGTCTATAAATTCTGTCCGACAGTATGGAGATATGATTAAAATGATATCATCAAAGGTGGTTCAGGCGTCTTTGGACCTGAGAAATTCGGCCCATGGATCCTTACGCAAAACAGTGGCAAAAAATTTACGCAAGGATAGCGCCGGAAACTCTATAGATGAGCTGGCGGAGTGTAGACTTTCAGGTGCTGTGTTACAATCTATCCAGAACGAAGAGTTTTGGGAAAGCATTGGGGCATTAAGTGAGCTCATCACACCAATCAAGGAGACTTACAAAATAATGAGTAGCACCCCCACAACTCCATTTTATTTGTCGGATGTCCTTTATCAATTTGGTAGAATGCATCAACAGTATAAACTTATATTATCTGACTGGGAAAGCCGTTCAAGTGGAGGACGATCTGTCGAACAAGTTCGCTGTTTACTTCGGACACTCGATGATATGTGGAGGCTCTATGACCAATCACTGATGTTTTTAGGATACACATTCGATTTTCGTCTGCAATCCCGATATCTAGCCCGCCATCAATCATCACTTCAGTGGCTCTCAATTGGAAGATCAGCAAAGCAGTACTTCCGGGACTGGTTTTGTGCGATGTCACCAACACAGAATCTATCGCGCCTGCGTGCTTTAAGTGATGAAGCTGTTGGCCATTTTATGGAAGACCTTTTGGCATTTAAAGAACGCAAGCACCCGTTCGATTCCGAAATGTTGCGCGAATATGACAACCCGAAGTATTTTTATATGCTTGTCTCCGACTCGCATCCCATCTTACACATGTTTTGCTCTCGGCTATTTAGCATCGTGACTAGTACGCCGTTCTTAGGTGACGTAATCCCCGGAAAGTGCTTTCTCCCATCCACATCTTTTGCAAGATGTTCGCAGCATACTTTGCTGCCTCTACTGCAAATGAAATTACTGTCCCAAACAACATTGCGGTTATCAAAGGATTTGTTTGAGAGCATTCATGGCAGAAAATCAAATCATGTAACCGCAAACTTAGAAGGTGATGATCCACATTCGCACTTTACAGAGTTTACGTCAGAGGAAGCAAGATCTTCGCTTTTTCAAAGCTCGGATTCAGCTGAACAAACACCAACGAATGAAGCTGACGACGATACTTTTTCACAGAGTCGTATCTGGAGTATGAATCAATGGGAGGTGATAGCAAGAGAGTGGAATGCACATTGGAAAAGAGAGATCGAATCATGCAAACAGCTATACTCGTCAGGCGCTCTTAATTTGACCTCTACAAACTTAACACTCGATCAAATTTTTGTTGAAGCTTTACCATCCCGAGTTCCTCACGATCAAGAAGATGCTGTCGTGGACGTGTAATTCTGATATCGACGGTCATGCACAATGATTAAATCCGCTTGCTGAGGTACAAGTTGATGTTGCAGTCGGGAATCGTCAAAAAATGTTTGTCCAGCTCATTAATATCCACTTCACTGTCGCAGAGCTCTTGCAAGCTCCTCGCTTGACAAATTAAGTCTTCAAATCTGTTTTGACATCAAAATCAGCATAAATGCTTTGTTGCACGTAGGAATCAGAGGATTTCGAGATAGCCCGGCTGGAGCACGTACGATGCCTGAAGCTTGTCAATGCGTTTATCATTACTCAAAACATTGTGACGAAGAGATTTGATTCTGAGCGAAATCACCAGGCAAATTAGAAATGCACATCTGCCATACAAGTTAGGCACACACTTTTGGTTTGCGTCATTTTTTCTTTCAGCAATCTCGTCCAAAATTGCTGCAGCCTGATCTTCAGCAGAAAACTGTGATACAGTTTCTCTATCGCCTTTTTTATCGCCGAATCTCCATTCCCGGTCAGTGGTCAATTTACTTTCGCGAACATCAATGTGCGGGCTAAGCGTCAAAAATACAAGGTCAGACTACTTTTGAAGCCACACTCAACATGATGCTTCTACTTTTCAGAACTAGAGCTGTTGTCATTGCGAGTCGACTTTGCAGTGAATGCTGTTTTAAGATTGCGGTGGGTGTTAATTTGTGGCGTCGGAGAGGATCTGATTGAGGGTGGCCTGACCAAGCGTGGCCCTTCGACATCCCTGCTCACAAATGGTTTTGAGGTCTGTGGATTAAAATCTTCCCCGAGAACAGTGATATGCTTCGACATCATTTAAAGCTGTCGTAAATGTTGTCGGTTCTGCTATTCGGACGCAAAATTTAAGTTTATCGTGTAACCGATTTTTAGCCAATTTTGATTGAGTCAAGCAGTGTTGTCCTTGTTCGCGTAAATGTTGCGCTACCAGCGGTATGTATGTCACAGACAGTCGGTCTACGATTACTCTTATGATATTACTCTTTGTACTAAGTGTTGATTTAATTCTGGACAACGCTGGAATACACGGTAAGAAGGTTACAGTTCGTACAACGGTGTGCATAAACCTTTCACTTTCACCACAATTTTGTGTAATGATGAATATCCAAAAAATGAAGTAGTGTTGTCAGTGTCAAATTAAGTAGAGTAAGCAATAGACGTCAGCCATGCTGAGGAAAGATGTATTGGCAATCAAGTAGTATTGTAGAACTAGCTAATTTAAAATCTTTGCTACATAATATCTGAGCCGTGTATGTATCTTTGCTCTCAGCTGCGATGTACAAAGATTCAGATTGTCACGTTTTCATTTTCTGCGTCAGACAGCCGAAGAATAGTAGTGCTGCAGCGGGTCTTTCTTCGTCTTCGTTTTGCACGGCTAAGATGGATGAAGGTGATGATGTGCCCACGCACATTAACAGGATGAAGACTTTGGCGGAGCAGCTATAAGCGGTGGGCGCTCCGGTCATTGAGGATGACTTGATGGTCACGCTTCTTGGAAGTTTGAGTGACTTGCTGTTCGATAAAGCTAACTTCATTCTATACTTGGAATCAGTGCGATTGTGACGGATTGCAATCCGCTTACTCCAAGAGTATCCACAACATAACCCAAGGCAATTATAGGACTAGGAATTGCTCGCGATAAGGTATCCAATTGTCAAGTTCAGGGTGCACCTGCTGGGCTCAAAGCCGTTTGTAATCTACACAGATCAAACGTCACTACGCACTGTGACTCAGTCGCCTCACCTCTCACAGAGGATGGCCAGGTGGCTACCCTTCATCGCAGAATATAACTCCAAGGATAACTATAAGCCAAAAAAGCGGAATGCTTTGGCTGATGCGTTGTCACACTGACCGGATTATGAGCTTGCTCATGTCACGACCGTGACGTCGTCAGTGACGGATTTAATCCGCACCACATACGCGGGTGGTGGTATAAGAGTAGCGCTGCTACAGGCTCTCGGGATATAGGAGTTTGGAAAATCGGATATAAGCGCCATGCTGCCACTCGTAGAGCTCGCTCTGAACAATGCAGTGCATTCATCTACCGGTTACACGCCGTTCTACGTGAACGGGCTTATTAATCCTCGCGTCCTGAAAGACAAGACATGCAAAAGAATATACAGATGGAAGAAGCAGAAGAAATGTTGAAAACATTGAGGCCGGAGACCTGGTTTTGTTGAATGCTAAAAAACTTTCCTACATATGCAGTCTCTGCTGTCTTTAAGACGAAGCTCCGCCCATGGTTAATCGGACCTTACAAGGTCGTTGTTAAGTGGGACATTGGGTATACGCTTAACCTTCCAGATCGGATGCGCATTTACCTGGTGTTTAACGTCGGCTTGCTCAAGCCGTACCGGTATCCGGTGCAAGTGAACGCGGAAGCGTTGGCGCCGGGGCGGTGCCCCAAGACACTCCGGCCCGACCAGGAGCTGGACCAGCAACTGATTTTGAGCGCGGAGTAAAACAATTTTTGTTTTCAACGGCGCCAGGCGCTCTACCGTCGCAAAATGCATTCGTCGGCCCCGACGGCTAGGAGCCGCTCTGGCAGGGGGCGATAGTCCTCAACGTGAGGCAGTCGGTGTACAAAGCGCTCCAAAGCTTTTTAGGTCTTCCGCATAGGGGTATGCGACACCAGCATGATGCTCAGCAGAGTCCCGATCGCGACGGAGGTTTTCCTTAAGAGCTCGAAGAGCATCTCGAGTCACCGTAAGGTAATCGACCATGTCACAATCGCCCGCCGCCGACACTTCTCGACGAGAATGATGGTGTTCACTATCACGTGGAACGCCTTGTGGGTCGACGTCGTCGACAGGGTCAAACCCAGTACCTTGCCAGGTGGCGAAGATACACAAACTCCGAGAACTCGTGGGAGTTTGAAGTACTACTTCGGCATGATTGCCCAGACGGCGTGGACGCTTATGATCAGAGGAGTTATAACGTTCCGCGTCGTCATATGCCCTGTCATCTCGGAATAGCCAGGGATACCGAAGGGCCATGAGCTGAGCTCAAGCGATGACCATGAGCTGCTGTGGTCGCAAGCTCACCCGCAGAGCTCGCGGGGGCGTGATAGATTAGTCCATACGTCGAATGGCGACAATGTGTAGGTAGTCGGCGACGCGCCTTGAGTTTGACAAACTTGAAGCGAAGATGGCGCTCAACGAGCACGCCCGATTCCTTGTGGCTCCGCTGAAACTTGGACAGCGAGGAAGGCTCCGGTGACGCGCAGCACCCATCGTTAAAAAAATTTAATTCATCTGCAGCGGTTTCGCCAGGGGCGAGCACGCCAGAAGTCGTCTGCACCGCGGGTACAGGAGCGCCTCCTATTTGAGCGCAAAGTCGAGCGCGGTATGTATCCAGCAGAATTTTTTTCGGAACCAAGAAGCGAGTGCGCATTGCTTTCGTTCGCCAAGCTCAGCTTGTGTAGTGGTCGAGGGTCCGACCACGTAGACGCCCAGGGGCGAGGACTTTAGGAATAGCCCGCATTACGGGTACAAGAGCGCGCGAGCTTGACTGGTCAAGCTCAGCTTGTATAGTGGTTTGGTGGGGGGCGTTTACGTAGACGCTTTACGATCGAGTGATCGCGTCTTTTGCTTCAGTAGCGGGATCCGCCGAGCAGAAGCCGTATTCCACACGAGGTTCTAGGACCGAACGTGGATACGAGCCCATGGGAGCCACCCTTTTGGCAGCCTTCAATTGCTGTGCCTGTGCCTCGTCGATGCGATCGATGATAATACCACTACTCTCGGGAGTAGAGATGTCGAGAATCAGAAACGGCGTACGCAAGGTTCGAGTAGGGTTCACGTCGCGCCGTTGACGCACATCACCCACCTCTGCTTCACATCCTGGATAAGGGGTATCCAAATCGTTGTTAACTCTCTCCTGATCCTCGACGAGGTAATCCGTCGCCCGTGGCGGGCGCTGTGCGCGGTGATCGGTGACTGAGGGCTTGGGATGCGCTTCTGTTGAAGCCGCGAATGTGCGGCCCGCAATTACACCGCGTGTTGGAGACTAAGAAGGGGGCGGTTTCGGAGCCAGCGAGGCTCGGTGTCTTTCGTGTCCTAGACACAGGGTTCATTAAGCAGAGAATGCGTGAAGAAGGTCCTGGGGATGTTCGCGGGGTCTTTCGTATTCAAGTAGTGAGAAAAAGATTATTTCATATACCGTCTAGAGGTGTCTTAGGCAGTCTTAGTCACGCCAGCTTCGTACGAGGTGATAGTTCAATATGAATAGTGGTTGTTCAATATGTTGATGGCGGAGAGTGTAGTGGGAGTACACATACCTTGGTATGAGGGTTGGGTGACACAAGATGGTGTACCATAAAAGTGTGTGGGCTACACAAGGCGGCGTCATCACATAATGGTGTGGCTGCAGCTTAATAAAATGTCAGTACGTGGCTGAACTGCCAGTAGGTATGTATTTTATTAGGTTTAACTATTTAAGTAGGAAAACTTAAAGAGTTAGACATAGGCGACTTTGCCTCAAATAGAACCAAGAAATACAGTTTACATTATGAGCGGAAGAATTATTTATTAAGGTTGTGGTTACTCTTGCAGATAGCAGATTGCGACCCGCTACACTCGTATGGATTTTAAGCATAGAACGAAGGTGACTGAACTTAGCTTAGCTTCCTCGAAGCAAAACAGCTGCGGTAGCCCCGCTGCATCGCCGGATATGCGTTCAAAGGACCACGACATTGAGCCTCCTTTCCCATCTGAACAAATTGAGAATCACAATAGCATTTGTATTATTCTGTCACTTCTGAGATCGCAGCTCCCTGCCTCATTTTCCTTCCAAGTTCTGTTAGATGCACATAGCAAAATCATTGCTACCATTTTTGAAAAAACAATGTTTTGCGAGGAGGTCATCACGGTTTCGTGCCCGCTCCAAAAGTTCTTCTGCTTCCTGGCAATGATGAGTTCGTGATCGGTCAATGGCCCACCAAGTAAAATGTTGGTCTTAGTTGCATCTAAAGCTATCCACTCTCAGGCGATCCATAACCCGTATCGTTCCAGCCACGTCATTCCTGGGCTAAAGTCGTATCACGAGTCCAGTTTCAGAATGAGACTACAACCAACGCTGTCGAAGTCCTCAATTTCTGCTTGAAGATTAAGCATTACTTTGACACTCTTTCGAGTGACCTCGTCACAAGGCGCTCAAATATCTTACGCGTATTTCTCATTTTTGATATCTCTCCGTACTACATACTGTTTGTGCTAGCCGTACATCGTAAGCACTCGCACGAACTATCAGGATGTTTACGGCTTCGTAAAGACCTTAGGCATTGGTATCAACAATCAATGATCCTTGGCTGTAAACGAAACCTCTATTCAGAAGGGTCGTATGCTTAGGGCGATTCCATGACCACACACTCACGAGGTTCAAAATATTCAGCTCTTTTCAAGTAGGCCGTCCTGCAAGGCCAATATAGCCAGAGATTTTTCGTGAGGTGTTCTTCAATCTTCCTCGGGCGGAAGCCCGGCCATTCGTTTTTTGCTCAGAGTGAAGGGGTGTAAAGACGCATATATTCTGTACTCCCGCGAAATAAGATACTGCTGGGCTTTTTACAGCCTCTATCCCCCCTTTTACCCTTAGCATTACAAATGTCCACCCCCGGTGCCTTGATGTAATGGGTTACACTTAGCTATAACATAATGGTATGTCTATGTACCTGCTGTGTGCATTGTGTACATTCATTGCGGAGGGGATTTGGGTACGATATCTTCACATGCACATGATGTTTATTTTTCGTACCGGCATTCCAAGGCTTGATCAGCGGTTCACAGTGAATGTCATCGGTATTCCTATCAACGCCTGGTTTAGCCTTCCCCTTGGTGATGTATCATCAGCGCAGATTCCAAGCTGGCAAGAGCTTTTAAGCGAGCAATTATCGCATCTGGTCCAATCTTTGGGCGCCATTTACCTAATCTCGTTGGCATAACTAATGGTTTACACAAGCTCATTCAGCGGATATAGTTGTCAAGGGGATAAATCGAATCTCTTTTTCCCATGTGAGTAAGTTTTTTCGTGACTTGGTATTTTGTGTTACTTAGTGCAACACGCCTTCTTCCCACATTTCAAAAAAGGGTTTGGCCTAAAGTTTTTGCAGAAGCTAACTTAGTTCGCGTGCTCCAGCTAGGAGCAGATTGAAATTGATCAAACGTGTTTATTTAGTACTAATCTGATTAGATTCACTCCTATAAGTAGCAAAGCAAGCTAGAGAGACGAATGCTTTGAGGCTCTCAGCTCTCTCGTGATTAGAACGTACGATTCCGTCTCTCCTCTCCTCTGTTCTCTTCTGTTCTCTTCTCTTCTTGGTGCGCTTGTTTTGCGGAGTCTTCGAGTCAAAACTTTCACTGTGTGAAGCGCACGGCAATTCCGTTACGTCGAACGCCTCGGCGTTTTTCCTGATCCTGCCATCGAAGGCAGACCATAAACATCGACTTGACTAAGTCCTTTCGATTTCTGTTCCAATCTCTTACATCTATAATCACATTTGTGAGAAGCGTAACTAACTTGTTATGATGATTAAAACATGCTGCCATCGAAGCGGTCCTCAAAAGACCCGCAATAATTGACAGCTTGAGCTGCACGAACCGGTGAAAGTGAAGCATAAAATCTCATCGTCGAGTTCGTAATCTGTTAGAATTCTGCAATCTTGAATCTGCAGGAGAGGAGGTAAGAGCAATAATGAATTTATTTAATCCATCAGATCTACACCCACAAGGTCTACATACTTAATAGCTCGTAATACTAGATACATAGCCTCATTACCTCTTGTCACATTTCGACCTTGTTCTTACTATCAAAAGATAGCTGTTGTCTGTCACTCACCCTTGTATCAGACTAATTAGTACTTACCAATAGCAAATACGATGATGTTGTACTATTCATTCAAGTCCATTGTTGCGATTGTCATGTATCCAACTCTCACATCCCTCGTTGTGGCACGCATCACAACGTGTGCCGTTTGCTAAACACAGGCGTTTTCATTCTCTCTCGTCAAAGTTTGAAAACATGTCGAAAAGTGTGGACTCACAGCCTGTTCGCGGATACTTTGTATGCGTCAGAAACGCTCAAGCAATATCCTTTACCAGAAAGAGACATCTAATCAGTTTTTAAAATGCATAAAAGATCGAGCAGAAATTGTAGAAAGGTGCTGTTCAGCATCATTGTGTTAGCTATCTATGGGTAAGTACTGACTGATAAGTCCAATCCTATAGTACCGGAAGCAACCTAAATTTAAGTGGTTTTTGAATGATTCATTTTTTACTCATGACTTTTCTACGTAAAAGGTAGTGGAAGAAGTAGACAATCGACGTGTACTATTGTAAGACTCAGCACTAGAAAACGAAGCTTCCTGAATGGATACATTGGATGTGAAAGTATCGTCGAGTAAGCATTAAAAGCGACAAAAGATTCGCCAAAACATGAGATTCATGATTCCAGATTAGAAAGTGGGCGAGTGAGAGGCTTACCATCCAATTCAGCGAAAAATTTTGCTAATGGATGACATGATGTTCGTCACCAGGTGACGGAAGAGGGTTCTCACCAGGCGTCGCGCCGACAGAAAATATTTCTGGCGTGTTTGTTGAGGCACGGTTCAAAGTGCGTGTAGAATCATAAATCTCGTTATTCAAATCAAGTGCTTTGTGGTAAGTGAACACCACTCGCTGAAATGCGATCCCAATGTCATTGTAGCATTGATCTTTACAGATGCTACTCAATGCGTTTTGTACTTCTGGATAATGTTCACCAGTTTTGATCACCATAAAAATGCACCACTGACGAAAATTTTCCGATTCAAAAAGGTCTTCACTCACCTTATCCAGTTCAAAAAACTTGACCATTTGAGTATTTGTTTGATAAAAAACTTCTCAAACACGAAATTCTCGAGCTTTGAGCGGACAAAAAATGAAAGTTTATTCGTCCTGCAAAGAGCGAGCACCCCTTTGTAGCTTGAATCTTTGAGCCTCGCAGTGAGCACCGCCATGGGCTCAAATCCTTTTTCTTTCAAGACAGCTAGCCAAGCTGGAAGGCTTGCACTAAGAACTAGTTTGTCAGGATCAATCCGTTCTGTGTCTCCAATCAAAGTTTCAGCAGCAAATATGGACTGCACGTCCTCGGCGATAGACTTTGTGTAACCTCCTAGCGTTTCAGCCTCCGCGACGGCGCGATCAACTTGTTTGCGAAGGGCCGGAGTCTTATCTAGTTTGGTTTGAAGTTGTACAACGAAAGTTTCTCTTGAAATGCGATACAATTCCTGAATGATTTCGTACTCGTACAAATTCACCAATTTGTCATTGATATTCATGTCTTGAACACATTCATTAATCATCGCTCTCTCGATCCCTTTTATCATTGTTGTGGAACCCATGGAAGTCTTCGTTTCAGCAATGAACTTGATCAGATTCTCCGAATCGTGCTGTTCCAATATTTTGAGCACTATTCTGTATCCCTCTTCGGGTTTGTCTTTAAAAGCTGTAGTAATGACGCCAGACCAATGCGTGAAAGGCTCGCTTACAAAGAAATTACCCAACACAGTGTCCACATGATATTCTTCAAAGAGATTGCCAGCGATCACCTCTGGATATTTCGCGTGTTTCAAGCTCAAAGTTGGATTTTCCAGTTTAACCAACGATGTTGGGGCAAACATCTCCAAAATGTTTCTATAGAGATGTGTTAACCATCCTTGTTGAGCCTCAGTACGAAAAGGCCCAACTCTTTCTTCATGCGATGTTGTGAGCGCCCTCGAAACTTGATGAGTCGTCACAACCTTATTGTGATAAGTCTTTGCCTCGGCGAAATCATGCTTGATGCATGCTATAATAGCAACGCTCACAAACAGTGGAAAGTAAAGAAACCTTGAACTGCTTTGTTTAGAATTCATAGCAATCTAAACTCTTGGCGGCCACTGAAAGAATGCAGAAACATGAAAGTTGTTGTCTGAAAATTTGAATGTCCACTTAGTGAGACAATCGTACGTAACTTTGTTTGTGTAAATGGAACGTAGTTTAAAACCAGACAAAACATGTTTGGAGAGATACGAATGTTATGTACAAATCTCCGTATACTGCTAAAGAAAGGATAGTATCCTGGGCAAAAACGACACGAGACATACTATTATGTATCATCAAATCTTTCGTATGCTAAGTACAGACCCCCGACTCCGCATATCTGCTGGGAGTTTTTCTTTCGATTTGAGTATTCGGGCTCCTTAGCATTTCGTATTGGTTATTGCTATTAGAAAAATTCTCAAAATCTTAAAATTTTAAGACCAGTAAGAAAAAAGACCAAAAATTAGATAGCCAGAAGAATATTCGATTTGTTTGAAGCTGGTTCTGGGAAAAAGGTTACGATATGAAGCTGTACGTGCTTCCTTTGTCGTGGACGAATCGTGCTAGAATATCTGTCTGTTGTCATGAAAGTCGTTGGTTCTCGATAATTGCTTTTAAATATTTTGCAAAAGATGCTTGGACTGAATGAGATGTTGCGAAGAATTCGAAAAATTGGATAACAAAGTATTTTGTAATATTCACTGAGCTAGCTGAAGACAATGAGAAGTACAATAAAGCATAAAAAGACTCTCGAGTTTGGCTCCACTTTTGCTAACTTCCGGCTTCTAGATGAGCTTTAGCATTCACCAGACTTCACCGTCTGGTATATATTAAATATCTACGTCCATTAGACTGATACTCATTTCGAGCTTAGTGAAAGTGTAACGGGTTACACGTACCCTGGTAACAGGGGGGGGTGTCATACGAGATGGGTATGGTGTGACTGCACCCAAATATGTATACGGTATGTGGCTGGGTAGCCAGTAGTTAGGCATGTATTCAGATTTTACGAAATATATTTAGGAAAATCTATACATTTAAATTAGGCGGCTTTTGCCGCAGACAAAAATAAAGAAAGTCAGTTTTTGATTTAAACGGAAAAGTTAATTAGCCTTGGTTAAGGCAATAATTACTGGATTGCGATCCGCTAAGTCGTACTTATTCCGAATATAGAACGAAAGGTTGGTGACCTAACTTACGCTTCCTCAAAGCGCAAACCT